AAATGCTTAAACATGTGAGCCACCCAGGTGCCCGCCCCTGTTAGTGACTTTTCTTTCTTTCTTTCTTTCTTTCTTTCTTTCATTTTAAAGTTTATTTAGAGAGAATGAACTGGGGAGGGGCAGAGAGAGAAGGGGACAGAGGATCAGAAGTGGGCTCTGCTGACAACAGAGAGCCCAACTCAGGGCTTGAACTCACCAGCCGAGCCATGAGATCATGACCTGAGCTGAAGTTGGAAGCTTAACTGACTGAGCTACCCAGGCACCCTTTGTTAGTTTCTATAGTAAAAGGCCCCTGGGATTTTGTTTGGACTATATTGAAGCTGTAGGTCAATATGGAAAGAATCAGTATTGTAATAATAATTTAGTTTGTCAGTCCATGAACATGGTATATATCATTTCATTTATTTAAATCTTTTGAAATTTCTCTTAGCAGTGATTTGTAGTTTACAGTGCAGAGGTTTTTCCTGTATCTTAAATTTATTTTTAAATGCTTTATGTTTAAGGCTTCATTGGAATTACTTTTAAAAACTACTTTCTAGGGGCACTTGGCTGGCTCAGTAAGAAGAGCATGCGACTTTTTTTTTTTTTAAGTTTTTTTTGTTTTGTTTTGTTTTGAGAGAGAGCACGTGTGTGCTCGAGAGCAGGGGACGGGCAGACACACTCTCTCTCTCTCTCTCTCTCTCTCTCTCTCTCTCTGAAATAGGCTCCAGGCTCTGAGCTATCAGCACAGAGCCCAATGTGGGGCTCAAACTCCGAAGAGCGAGATCATGACCTGAGCTGAGATCAGACTCCCAACCAACTGAGCTACCCAGGTGCCCCAGGAGTGTATGTGACTCAATCTTGGGGTCATGAGTTCAAGCTCTGTGTTGGGTATAGAGATTGCTTAAGAATAAATAAAAACTTAAGAAAAATATTCTGGGGATGCCTGGGTGGCTCAGTCAGTTAAGTGACTGACTTTTGATTCCAGTTCAGGTCATGATCTCACAGGTTATGAATTTGAGCCCCATGGTGGGGCTCTGTGCTAACAGTGTGGAGCCTGCTTGGGATTCTCTCTCTTCCTTTCTCTCTCTCTTTCTCTCAAAAATAAATAAACAAACATTAAAAAATACTCCCTAAAAGCACTACTTTCTAATTGTTTGCTACTAAGATTTAAAAACAGAATTGTTTTGTCTAGTAACTTTTTATCCTGTGATCTTGCCAGATTTTGTTATTAGTTCTAGTAGTAGTTTTGTAGATTACTGGGCATTTTCTGTATAAACCATATCATCTGCAAACTGAGACGGTTTCATCTCTGTGAGTTTTATTCCTTATCGTTTTGCTAGGATTCTTGGTAAAGTGGTGAATAGAAGTTGAGAGTGGGTATGTGTTGTACTTGATTTTTAGGGAAACGTTCACTATTTCTCCAATAAGCAGAGTATTAGCTGAAGGTTGTTTTTTGTTTGTTTTGTTTTTGATGCCCTTTTCTAATTGAATAAGTTTCCCTCTATTTCTTTTTTATTGTGAGCTTTTATCATAATAGGATGTTGAATTTTGGTAAATGATTTATGTTTTTCAAATTGATCATAGTATTTCTCTTTTATTGTTAATGTGGTGAATTATATTGATTATATTCTCTGGATAAACGGTTTTTTTTTTTTTTTTTTTTGNGGTTTTTTTTTTTTTTTTTTTTTTTTTTTTTTTTTTTTTTTTTTTTTTTTTTTGTTTTTTTTTTTTTTTTTTTTTGCAATGATGTATATGCTTTTATTGTTTGCTGGATATAATTTGTTAATGTTCTCTTAAGATTTTTTTTTTGTTTTTTTGGTGTCTCTCTTTCTGAAAGTTATTGGTTTGTAATGTTCTCTTTTCGTAATGTCCGTGGGGGTTTTGGTGTTAGTTATGCTAGTATCATTAATGGAGTTGGGAGGTATTTCTCTCTTTTGTTTTCTGAAAGGGTTTGTGTAAGATTGGTGCTACTTCCTCCTTAAATGTCTGATAGAATTCAGCACTGGGGAAGTATCTTTGGGAAGATTTGGGAAGATTCTTTGAGATTTTGTGTATATCTTTTTCGCTGTTCATCCATTAGGTTTTTTTTTTTTTTAATGTTTTATTTATTTCTTAGAGAGGGAGAGAGAGCATGAGCAGGGAGGGTCAGAGAGAGAGGGAGACATAGAATCTGAAACAGGCTCCAGGCTCTGAGCTGCCTGTCAGCACAGAGCCTGACACAGGGCTTGAACCCATGAACCGTGAGATCATGACCTGAGCTGAAGTCGGATGCTTAACCAACTGAGGCACCCAGGCGCCCCTCATCCATTAGTTTTAGTGAATCTTGCCTTGTGGAGAGGTTTTTGGTAATTCAAATAGAATTTCACTATGTGGTTCTTTTTGTTGTGTTTTGTACTTATATTTGTACCTAGTTAGTCTGGTTTTATTCAGGAAGGCATGCATTTTTATAGTGGTTTTTGCTTTAAATTTTTATAATGGCTTCATGTTTTTTGTTAGTATTAATTTGTTTCTTTTTTTTTTTAATTTTAATATTTTTATTTATTTCTAGGAGAGAGAGAGAGAGACAGCGTGAGTAGGGGAGAGTCAGAGAGAGAGGGAGTCACAGACTGAAACAGGCTCCAGGCTCTGAGCCGGCAGTCAGCACAGAGCCCGACGCGGGGCTCGAACCCACGAGCCGTGAGATCATGACCTAAGCAAAAGTCAGACGCTTAACCGACTAAGCCACCCAGGCGCCCCAATTTGTTTCTTATTCTGAGCATCATCTTACCCTGAGCATTCTTTTCTTTCTATTCCCTTATCTTTTCTACTGCCCATTTTCAATTTTTCTTTTTCTTTTAAGTGTTTACCATTGTCCTTTTACATAAACATTTAAAAATTTTTAGGTTTTTATTTTAATTGTTAGCTAACATACAGTGTTATATTAGTTTCAGGTGTACAGTATAGTGATTCAGCACTTCATACATCACCTTGTGTTCATCACAGCAGGTGCAATCCTTAATACCCATCACCTATTTAACCCATCCCCTAAAACAACTCCCCTCTGGTAACCATTAGTTTGTTCTTAAGAGTCTTTTTCTTACTGTTTATCTCTCTTTCTCTTATTTTTTCCCCTTTGCTTGTTTGTTTTGTTTCTTAAATTTCACATTTGGTGAAATCATATGGTATTTGTCTCTCACTGACTTATCTCACTTAGTATTATGTTCTCTAGCTCCATCCATGTCATTGCAAATGGCAAGATTTGTTCTTTTTTTAATGGCTGAATAATATTCATATATATATATTATATATATAAAGACAATTTTAAATCCAATAGATGTCCCTCAAACCTTTGAAGTTCTTGCTTCACTGATAGATTGAAGAAATATATATATATATATCTTCTTTGATATATTGTTGCTGATGAGAAGCCAGTCTGGTTTAATTTGTTGTTTGTAGATGCACATAAATATGTATGTATATCTTTGTAGGTATCCTAGAGATGTCATCACCTATTTTAATGATATAGCATTCATTAAATATTATTTCTGTTGAGGATGAATTTAGCTTGATACATTTTTTTAATCCTTCCATAGTAGTTCTGATTATAAGCCATTTCTTTTTTTCTTCAAAAATTCTTTATACATTTTATAAGAAACTCAGATAAGATGTATCTTAATTGGGAAGTAAAAGCCTTTCTCTCTCTGTCAGCCATTGTATTATTTTCTTTAGTGTCTGAATTATTTCTGATTCTTTGGGAAAAGAAAAATAAGAGAAAAAGACACACTTTCTTTTCCAGTGAAATTAAAAAAAAATTTTTTTTTTAATGTTTTATTTATTTCTAGGAGAGAGAGAGAGAGAGAGAGCGTGAGCAGGGGAGGGTCAGAGAGAGAGGGAGTCACAGACTGAAACAGGCTCCATGCTCTGAGCTGGCAGTCAGCACAGAGCCTGACGCGGGGCTAGAACCCACGAACCGCAAGATCATGACCTAAGCGAAAGTCGGACGCTCAACCAACTAAGCCACCTGGGCGCCCCTCCAGTGAAATTTTTAAATCATTGATACATATTCACTTAATAGGGATGCAAATTAAATTTGTTGCTTGACTCCATTCCTGCACAACTCTATTTGAATAATTATAGACTCCTCCTCTCCTTTTTTTCCTCTCAGAAGGTACCATGTTCATACATCATTAGATATAAACTAGATAAGCCAAAGGATCTTAGTAATTTTGCTGAACAAATGTACTATAAATCTATAAGTAAATCTACTGATTAATTAATTATAGATATGATGCTTGCAGTATGATTTATTATTTTTTTATTGTTGTTTCAACTTTATTTGAATTTTAGTTAGTTAACATATAGTGTAATATTGGTTTCAGGAGTAGAATTTAGTAGTGATTCATCACATACAGATAACACCTGGTGCTCATCACAAGTGCCCTCCTTAATATCCATCATCCATTTAATCCATTCCCCCCCATCTCCCCTCTAGCAACCCTCACTTTGTTCTCTATAGCTAACAGTCTCTACAATGTGTTTTTTATTTTTTGAGAGACAGAGTGTGTGCATGTGGGCACATGTTAATGGAAGAGGGTCGGAGAGAGAAGGAGAGAGAGAATCTTAAGCAGGGCCTGTGCCTAGCACCAAGTCCCACAAGGGGATTGATTGCACAGCTGTGAAATTATGGCCCGAACTGAAATCGGTAGTCAGACACTTAACCGAGTCACCCATGTGCCCTTCTACAATGTGTTTTTTTTTTTCTTTTAAGTTTATTTTTGAGAGAGAGAGAGAGAGAAAGAGAACCAGAGAGAGAGAGAGAGAGAGAACCAGAGAGGGAAAGACAGAATTCCAAGCAAGCTTGGCGCTGTCATTGCAAAGCCTGACGTGGGGCTTGAACTCATAAACTGTGAGATTATGACTTGAGTGAAATTTGAGTTGAACACTTAACTCACTGAGCCACCCAGGCACTCATACAATGTGTTTTTAAAAACTATTTGCTGCTATATAATGATGTTAAGGATTTTACTGTCTTTAAATAGGAGAAAGAAGCATGCCATTCATAGTAGTGACACAACTTCTTCTGATGAAGAACGCTTTGAAAGAAGGAAATCAAAGAGCATGGCAAGAGCAAGAAACAGGTTAGTAAATTTTTTATTGTTATATCCATGGTAGAAAAAAGGAAGAACAGTTATTTTTATTTATTTATTTTTTTAAGTAGGTTCCATGCCCATTGTGGGATTTGAACTTACCACCTTAGGAATAAGAGTCTTATGGTCTATTGACTGAGCCAGCCAGATGCCCCAAGAACAGTTATTTTATTTAGCAAAAAAATTTTTTAATGTTATTTAGTTTTGAGAGAGAGAGAATGAGAGAGGAATGGAGAGAGACAGAGAGACATAGAATCCGAAGCAGGCTTCAGGCTCTTGAGTGGTCAGCAGAGCCCAACATAGGGCTCAGATCCATGAACTGTGATATCATGACCTGAGCTGAAGTCGGATGCTCAACTGACTGAGCCACCCGGGTGCCCCGAACAGTTGTTTTTTGAATGGGATTCTTATGTATACTGGTATTTTGCTAACACTGTTTTCAGTACATATTTTGTTTATTTAATTTTAATTTTTAAGATTTATCCTGAAGAGAGAGAGAGAGAGAGAACAAACTGGGGAGGGGCAGAGAGAAGGAGAAACAATCCCAAGCAGGCTCTGTGCCATTAGGGCAGTCTCATGCAGGGCTCAGACTCACAAACTGTGAGGTTATGACCTGAGCCAAGATCAAGAGTCAGACACTTAACTGTGCCACCCAGGCACCCTAGTACATATTTTAGACCAGAGTAAAGCGCTGATTTGGTTTTTACTTGCTATTTTTTCTTATAATTTTTAAAAAGTTTTTATCTGTTTTTGAGAGAGAGAGTGCGCGCGCGCATGTGTGTGGGCATGTAAGTGGGGGAGGGGCGGGGGAGGCGACACAGAGTCTCAGGCAGGCTCAAGGCTCTGAGCTGTCAGCACTTAGCCTGATGCAGGGCTCTAATTCACAAACTTAGTCAGATGCTTAAGTGACTGAGCCACCCAGGCGCCCCTACCTAGTAATTCTTAAAGTAGAAATCTAACCTTGGGAAACTTCTCATAAATTATTTACTATGTAACTACTCAATGAATGTGCAGGAAGGTACAGGAGGAAGACCCAAAGGGAAGCAGCCAGCCCCTGTGTAGTCTTTTCTTTGGTACCTCTCTTCTCCTGTAATCCAAATTCATTTAATGAGGCTGATTTTATATATATTTTTAAATGTTTATTAATTTTTTGAGAGAGAAAGAGAGAGAGAACACAGTAGGGGAGGGGTAGAGAGGGAGACAGAATCCAAAGCAGGCTCTAGGCTTCAGGGTCCGAGCTGTCAGCACAGAGCCCAGTGCAGGGCTCAAACCCACGAACTGGGAGATCATGACCTGAGCTGAAGTCAGATGCTTAACTGTCTGAGCCACCCAAGTCCCCCTAATGAAGTTGATTTTAGAGACTTACAGTGATTATGGCACTCAGGAAGATTTGGTTTCTAATAGAGTCATCTCAAGAGCCCTGGGATTTTATTGCAAAATTTGTTTTATTTTGGCTCAGTGAGTGCCATCTGGTGGTCTTTCCCTAACTAGGGTCAATGACTAATTACTGTATGGTTCACTAAAACCTCAAGAATTTTCACTGCTGGGGTGCCTGGGTGGCTTAGTCGTTTGGAGCCTGCTTCAGATTCTGTGTCTCCCTCTCTCTCTGCCCTTCCCCTGCTTGTGCTCTCTCTCTCTCTCTCTCAAAAATAAATAAATAACATTAAGAAAATTAAAAAAAAAAAAAGAATTTTCACTGAGTGAAAACCAGTGTTTTGTCTAGTAAGTAATTAGAATATCAAATTATAATTTATTCTTTAAAATTTGAGTTAATTTCTAGCTTATACTACTAGAGATAAGTTATATACATTTAGCAAAATAATTTCTATAATTTGGTATTATATACCTATTGTAGAAGTACCAAAATTTCAGTTAGTAGTTCTTTTTTTAAAAAAATTTTTAAAATAGTTTTTATTTATTTTTTAGACAGAGAGAGAGAGAGAGAGAGAGCGCGCGAGCATGAGTGGGGGAGGGGCAGAGAGAGAGAGGGAGACACAGAATCTGAAATAGGCTCCAGGCTCTGAGCTGCCAGCACAGAACCCGATGCAGGGCTTGAACCCACGAACCATGAGATCATGACCTGAGCCGAAGTCGGGCACTTAACTGACTGAGCCACCCAGGTGCCCCTCAGTTAGTAGTTCTTGGAAACAAGTTTCGATTGTTATAGATTATATGCTGAAAAGAATTCCACATGTGGATGATGGAAAGAAAATGTAAGAGAAAAAAGTTTATTTTATTTGTTTATTAATGTTTATTTATTTATTTCGTGAGAGAGACAGAACAAGTGGGGAGAGGCAGAGAGAGAGAGAGAGGGAGAGAGAATCCCAGGCAGGCTGCGCATTGTCAGCATGGAGCCCGATATGGGATTTGAACTCACAAGTTGTGAGATCATGACCTGAGCCGAAACCAAGAGTTGGATGCTTAACCACCCCCAGGCACCCCAAAAATCTAAGTTTAAATAAGATAATGTAATGTCTACTTGATCTGAACTATTCTGATACTTGATTTGGAAATATATTTTTAAGGTAAATTAAGATTCAGAAATGTCTGTGAAAAGTGCATTCATTTTAGAAGTTCTACTTTTTTGAGGCTATTTATGTCATCTTTTGGTAACTATCCAAGGTTAAAAGAGGAAGTAGATTATTTTCTTAAGGGTAATAAAATTAAATAATACAGTATAGGATTTTAGGTGGCTAAAGATCTGTCTTAAGGGAATTAAACAGAAGATAAAGGTTAGCTCTAAAGATGTGATCTAGAATTGGTTACCTTTGAATTAAAGGAAAAGAAATTTCTTTAATCATGTAAACTGAGTAGACATACCCCCATAATACCTGAGGAGAACTTGAAATACTATAATGAAGTTTGAGTTTATTTAATGCTGTATATTATATCCATATAGTAGGTCTGTATTTCATGTTTGTTTGATATTAAATACCAGGTGTGTTGTTTTCTAAGTTGGAATAGGTTGGGTTCTTTGGACAAATAAGTAGTTTAATAATCTTGTTTGCTTTGTCTAGTGAATAAATTTAGTTTTGGTCTCTTGAAAGGAACTTAGGAAAAGTACTTTAAAAATATGAAATCCTTTGTTATTTTATATTTTGTTATTTTCTGGGTTTTGAGAAAATTGAAAAAGGAAAAAGATGAAATTTACACTTATTTTGACCTTAAAAATGTGAAACTTTTAATGGTCTCCTCTTGAATTTTTATGAATTTCAGATGTTTGCCTATGAACTTCAGAGCAGAAGATTTAGCTAGTGGTATTCTCCGAGAACGTGTCAAAGTGGGTGCAAGCTTGGCTGATGTTGATCCAATGAACATTGATAAATCAGTAAGTTTTGTAAATGTTTTTCTAGAAGTAACTTTTTTTTTTAAAAAATAAAGGTTGTTCCTTTTTCTAAAGCAACACACAATAAAAATAAAAACCCAGATATCATCATTAGTGTTTTGGAGCTTAGCATTCTGGTCATAGGTGATAATTAAGTCCCCCTCCCATTTCAGTAATACTGGTATATATAATAAAAAAATGGGTAGGAAGTGAGGCTGACACATATGTCAAGGCCCATAAACCATGATATGTAGTAGAGTATTGTGGAAGCTGCTTAGATTTCATGATCAGATTTACATTTTGGATGGAGCCCTCTGTCTCTGATGTAGTTGATGAATTTGAGGGAAGCAAGTCTGGTATTAGGGAGACTGGTTTGGACATACTTGTAACATAGTGATCTGGAGTAATGGCCGTTGAAGGGTAACAATGGAAAGAAGTAGGTGGATTTGATAGAATTCAGGAGAGAATTTGGTTTGATGGAATTGGGTGAATTTATTGCCTTTGGGGAATGAAGGGGAGAAACAAGTTGATTGTATGACCTAGGTTTCTTTTTTTTTTTTTTTAATGTTTTATTTATTTCTAGGAGAGAGAGAGAGACAGCGTGAGCAGGGGAGGGTCAGAGAGAGAGGGAGTCACAGAGTGAAACAGGCTCCAGGCTCTGAGCTGGCAGCCAGCACAGAGCCCGACGCAGGGCTCGAACCCATGAACCGCGAGATCATGACCTAAGCGAAAGTCGGATGCTCAACCGACTAAGCCACCCAGGCGCCCCTGTATGACCTAGGTTTCTGGCTTAAGTGACTGGGTGGGATCTTCTGTCTAATCTACATTGGTTAGAGGAACATTAGAGAGAGAATATGTTTTGAGGGGTCACGATGATTTAGTTAGTTGTAGACAGGTTTAGGTGTCCGTGGCACATCACAAATGGAAGTAACTTGTAGGAAATTAGTTATTTAGGTTTGGCATTACGGAGAACTATATGAGCCAGAAATTCAGATGTGGGAATATAATTCAGATCTCAAATATAAAAATAATTGAGATCACTATGGGGAATGGGTTACAGTACCCAGGGAAAGTGGGAAAAGAAAGCAAGATTTAGAGGACATGGTAGATACTTACTGTTAATAGAATATTTGTGTGTGGAGTATATGTTGGAATAGGTGACTGCACAATTAAGATTATATTTGATTTTTTTTCTTTGCTCCCATAAACCTTTCTGTATGACATAATTTAACTGATTTTCATATGAGAAGCTTAAGTTATCAGTGGAGTTGTATATATATTTGAAAATGATGGGGCGCCTGGGTGGCTTAGTCGGTTAAGCGTCCGACTTTCGCTTAGGTCCTGATCTCGCGGTTCGTGGGTTCGAGCCCCGCGTCGGGCTCTGTGCTGACTGCCGGCTCAGAGCCTGGAGCCTGTTTCAGTCTGTGACTCCCTCTCTCTCTGACCCTCCCCTGCTCACGCTGTCTCTCTCTCTCTCTCCTAGAAATAAAACATTAAAAAAAAAAAAAAAAAAAAAGTGAAATGTTAGCTATCTCCAATCTGAAGTCATAGGGGAAAGTATTTTAATGAGGACTTTATTTAGAGTATTGAATTCACAATCTCATATCTACTAGTGCATATTCTCAGAGGATCTTAATGATCATTGCTTGTTTTGTTTCCCACTACCTTACTCTCTTGAATTAGTTAACCTTCAATGTCTCTGCCATTTATTTAGAGTAGTATTTTTTTAATTTGATGTCATATACAAGAAAATACAATTTTTCTTATTTAAAGTCATTTATTTTCTAGATTACTTGTTTTTCTATCATAGTAACATTTTCATTGTGAAACATTTTCAAGTACCTCAACAGAATAAAAATACAAGGGAAGAAATCGGCCATAATATAGCAGTCAGAGGTGGTTACTGTTAACATTGTGGCAGTATTTCCTTCAAGCACTTTTTTCTGTACAGTATTTTACTCTACAAAATCTTTTGAGTATTTAAACTATTATGGATGGGAGGAATAATCTTTGTTGTTTCTTACGGTAGATCAGTGTTTCTTAAATCGTTTTTTCATTGTTGTCTCCTAAGGAGAAAAGTTAAATTTCTATTTAGATAAATTAGTATTAAAGAATGAGACTTGGGGCGCCTGGGTGGCTCAGTTGGTTTAAACATCCGACTCCTGGTTTTGGCTCAGGTCATGAACTCATGGTTTGTGAGTTTGAGTCCCGCATTGGGCTCCACACACAGCCCTTGGGATTCTCTCTCCTCCTCTCTCTATCCCTTCCCCGCTTGCTCTCTCTCAAAGTAAATAAATAAACTTAAATTTTAAAAAATAAGAAAAAAAAAGGAATAAGACTTGGGGGCACCTGGGTGGCTCAGTTGTTTGAGCGTCCGACTCTTGATTTTGGCTCGGGTCATGATCCCAGGCTCACGGGATGGAGCCCACTTTGGGATCTGTGCTGAGTGTGGAGCCTGCTTAGATATTCTCTGTCTCTGTCTCTCTCCCCGTCTCCTACTGTCCCTCTCCCCTACTCACATATGTGCTCTTTTTCTCTTTAAAAAAAAAAAAGGAATAGGATTTGGTTTTATAAATTTGAGCTTTGGAGGGTCACAAACCATTTTAGTAGCTAAGAGTTTTCACCCTACTTCTAAATACTGTCCTTGGGGACAATATTGCCTTTTCTGACAATGCATGTGATAGATGGTATTTTGAAAGGCACTTAAATTATTAGAGTGTAAATACAAATTATCATCTCTTATAGATGACCATTAAAGTGTTAGATTGGACATTAATCTTGTCCTTAGTTACTGGGAGATTAAAGAATGGTAGTTTTATTTAGCTGAACTGAAATGTAAACTTGAATTTTACTGCTGACTTTGTTTTTCTGCACTCCAAAGTGTAATTTTTTGAACTTTATGTTCATCAGTTCCTGCTGAAAGCATGTATTTCTGAATCATAAGACACTCTTAATTAAAAAAAAACTTAAATAGTTAAAAGTTTCATATTAAACTTTTTCCCTTCTTCCCAAGGTGCGGTTTGATAGCATAGGTGGATTGAGCCATCATATTCATGCACTGAAAGAAATGGTAGTATTCCCACTTCTATATCCAGAAATTTTTGAGAAATTTAAGATTCAGCCTCCAAGGTAGGTAATGTCCTGGATATTTATTATTGTTATTACTGTTAATCTATCAAATTTTAGTTAGTAAATGATTATAAATATAAATATTTCATATATATTGATTTGATGTGTTCTAGCAATGAGACTTAAGAATGAAATTTTCTTATTTAGGGTTCAAAGGCTGTGGTAGTAAGTATATTCTTGAAGTTTACATTTCAGCATTTAACAGTTGGGCACAAGATCTAAATCTCTGGGAAGGCCTTGAATATACAAGTAGATTGCCCAAATGAGTTTTCCTTAATTTGGCCTCCAAATAGCATTGAGTTTGATGCTGTAGGTTGTTTAGTTTTTGGAAACACAATTTCAGTTAAGTGTTTATGTGACTTGATGATGCTGGGAGTTTTGAATTGGAAGATTTTTTTTTTGATATCCATTTTTATGATCAGATTAATTGATCATTAGATAGTTAGCTAGGTAGCTATTAGAAAAGCTAAGAACTTATGTTAAAGGAAGTTGGGCAGAATAAAATATTCAAGATATACATATAGACTGTTATATTCTCCATCTCTTTCAGAATGTAGAAAATCTATTAAAAAGTCATTTCTATTTGAGTGGATTAAAAATATGGCTTATAATTCTACAGTGGCTTTTTAAAATCAAAAGCAATTTACTTTTTTTTTTTTTTTTTAAATATTTTATTTATTTCTAGGAGAGAGAGAGAGAGCGTGAGCAGGGGAGGGTCAGAGAGAGAGGGAGTCACAGACAGAAACAGGCTCCAGGCTCAGAGCTGGCAGACAGCACAGAGCCCGACGCGGGGCTCGAACCCACGAACCGCGAGATCATGACCAAAGCGAAAGTCAGACACATAACCGACTAAGCCACCCAGGCGCCCCAAAAGCAATTTACTTTTTGTAAGATATAAGTTGAATTTTAAAAGTAATTATTACTTTTTCCAAAGTCATTAAAATAGTATGGCTGTGGGAGAAACTGAAATAAAATGGAGAGAGTCAAAGTGTTACAAGTAGAGAGTAATCTTACTTCTTAGGGATGAACAATTTTGTATATTCTTTATAGGGCTTGTTTTATACGTATATGTGTATATTAAGTTTAAACTTTGCCTGTATTAAGCACATATAAACATTTAATATAAATAAATTTATTTAGTAATGCTTTTATATAACTTTTTTCACTCTACAGTGTATTCTAGACCCCTTCCCGTACCAATAATGTATTATTCTTTTTGACATTTTACTAGTATTTTGTTTTATCGATGTAACAGTATATTTATTTGTACTTTACTGTTTTTTAAAATTTTATTTATTTAACTATTCTCCACACCCAATATAGAGCTTGAACTCACGAGCTCAAGCTCAAGAGTTATGTGTTTCTCCAGCTGAGCCAGCTAGGTGCCCTATCTGTGCCTTATTAATAGCATTTAGGTTTTTTTAGTTTTTTCACAAATTAGAATTGATCCTCTTTTCAACATTCATTTAAAATCTGTATTCATAATATTTTGAGTTTTTCTGTATAATTCATTCTAAGATGTGAGATTTCTGGGTCATTGGGAAGACACATTTAAAATTTTGGTTTATCTTCCTAAATGGCTCTCTTTGATTTTTCCTACCAAAGTTTTGTTGTTGAGAACATCCTTGAATCCTGTCAGCAAAGTGAAACTTGTCTATGTACTACAAAAAGCTTTCTCAGTATCTAAGAATTATCATATATGCATTAATAAAAAATTATGGGAGATACATCCTTGTGTATTGGTTATTGGTGGTGATGATAACATTACCTTAATTCTATTGATTCTTTTTCCCTCTAGGGGCTGTTTGTTTTATGGCCCTCCTGGCACAGGTAAAACCTTGGTTGCCAGAGCATTAGCTAATGAATGCAGTCAGGGAGACAAAAAGGTGGCTTTTTTTATGCGAAAAGGAGCAGACTGTCTGAGCAAGTGGGTTGGTGAATCTGAACGGCAACTTAGGCTTCTTTTTGATCAGGTAAGTGAAATCAGCTAATATGAGAATAATTTCTTTAAAATAGAATATTTAGGGGGCACCTGGGTGGCTCAGTGGGTTAAGCGTCTGACTTCAGCTCAGGTCATGACATCATGGCTCGTGAGCTCGAGCTCTATGTCGGGCTCTGTGCTGACAGCTCTGACAGCCTGGAGCCTGGAGCCTGCTTCAGATTCTGTCTTTCTCTGCCCCTCCCTTGCTTGCGCAGTGTCTAACTCTCTCTCTCTCTCTCTCTCTCTTTCTCTGGTATAAACAAACATTAAAAAATTTTTAAATAGAATACTTAATACATTTAGTCTGTAAAAATAAGTTGTTCACAAGGAGGCATATTTCCAATCAGTATTTTAGTTTAGGTTCAATAATCTGAATTTCTAAGGTTTAGATACATTTAACAGCAGTTTTACTACTACTAATTTAAGGTGTTTCGCAAAACATTTATTAAGGTGGCTGCTAAGCATATAGTACCATTTTAGGTGCTTTTGAGAATCCTGGGTATATAACATAATATCATGAAGCTATAGTCTAATTGAGGAAATAGAACAGGCATAGAAATCTCACAGAGCAGTGCATTATTTTCATGAGCTATAAAATATGGTACTGGAAGAATTCAGTAATAAATGCTTTAAAAAGGCAGGATTAGGTGACTGAATATCATGTAGGCAATCTTTTTTTAAAATCACTATTACTTTAAAAGCATTATTTCCTAATACTTAATAAAACTTAGTCCTGGGGTGCCTGGGTGGCTCAGTCGGTTTAGTGTCCAATTTTGGCTCAGGTCATGATCTCACTGCTTGTAGGTTTAAGCCCCGCATTGGTCTTTGTGCTGACACCTCAGAGCCTGGAGCCTGCTTCCGTTTCTGTGTCTCTCCCTTTCTCTGCCTCTCCTATGCTCATGCTCTGTTCTGTTTCTTAATAATAAATAAATGTTAAAAAAAACAAACAAACTTAGTCCTGATATAAATTCACCTTTGGTTATTTGAACTAGTGAAGGAAGTCATTCATGTTTGACAACGCAGCTTCTATTTTGTACCATCTAAGGAAGTTACATGAAATTAAAAGAAAGCTTTCAAAAGCAGGTTTTAAGCTACCAGTACTTAAGTTGATGTGTTTCAAAGTCTTTTGTAATTGGTAAAGCACTTCAAATATTATTTTTAGTTAGTATGAAAAACTGCCATGTTCTAGATAATGTGAGTAGAAAGAGGTATGGGGTAAAATTTTGCCTTCAAGGCATTCAGTGTCTATTGGGAAGTGAAACCTGTAGTCAGTCTGCTTTAAGAGTATGTGTGTATGTATGTATGTATGAAAAATTTTTATGTCACCTGCATTATACTGCAACAAAGCTGTTTAAAATAAAAAAAATTTTTTTTTAAATGTTTGAGAGAGACAGAGCATGAGTAAGGGAGGGGCAGAGAGGGGGAGACACAGAATCTGAAGCAGGCGCCAGGGTCTGAACTGTCCGCACAGAGCCTGACGTGGGGCTCCAACCTATGAGCCGTGAGATCATGACCTGAGCTGAAGTTGGATGCCCAACCAACTGAGCCACCCAGGAGCCCTGATTATTGTCTTTTTAAATGAAATAGTCCACATTATACTAAGTTGACATGATCTATGCGATCTATGCACTAAATAAAATGAAGGAGGTATTATATATTGGCTAAGAGCTTGGTCTTAGGTATTAGCAAAATGTTTAACATCTGACTTTATTATTAAGTATATAACTTGAAATAAATGAAAACATCTGATTTTAGTTGCCTCTTTTATAAAACAGGAAATAATACTAATCTCACTGGATTACTGTGAGATTTCACAGAAAAAGTATATAAAGTGCTTGTCATAGTAAAGGGCACAAGATATACTATACTTTGATATTGTAATTCTGTGAGGCTGTAGTTCATGTATTTAAACAGCTGATCAAATCTCTGTTTTTTTACTTTCTTCAAAATATTTATTTATTTATTTATTTAAGTAATTGATATATCTACCCAGTGTGGGGCTTGAACTCACAACCCAGAGACCGAGGAGTCGCATGCTCTACTGACTGAGCCAGCAGGTTCTCCTATTCTTTCTCTTAATATATAATTCTAGTCTTAGTAACTTTTTCCCCCCAAACCTAAGTTTTATGGTTGAAATGCCCTTTATTTTAAATTATTAGAAAACACTGGATGTTTAATGCATATCATATCAATTGGAGAAATGCGAAATTTGTATCTTGTTTTCAGAAGGTTGTCCTTCCTATGAACTAAGAATTTGCTATAAGTAATTTTGAAACATAAGTAAACTGTATATATTCGAGTAAATTATATAACATAAAGACTTTTCATTTGTAATCTAGTATTTATTAAATCAAATTAAGTTCCTGCTACATTTAAGATTTCAGTGAAAAATCAACAACTGTGAAAGTAATGGAAAAGAACTCATGAGAGTTTTGTTTTTAATACCAGAGTAGGGAGAGTTTTAACTATCAAAGAACAGATCCCCTACATAAATTTTACTTTTAGAATCTGCATTGAAACAAAATATAAGCAAAACCAAAAGATAAATGACACCCCTTGCAGAAAAATATTTGCATTTCCTTTCACAGAGAGAAGTCTAATTTTTAAAATGAATGGCTCCTAGAAATCAGTAAGCAAAAGACCAATGATCCAATACAAAAATTGGTAAAGATCTGAACAGAACTTCATTTAAAAAACAGTATAAATGACTCTTACAGATATGAAAAGTGCTCATTTTTATTGATAGTAGAGGTAAAAATGAAAATGAACCGAGATATTTTTTATCCTAAAATATCGAGAAGTTTGATGATAAATTGTTGGTGAGGTTTCTTAAATATTGGTGGTTAGAGGGTAAATTGGTAGATCGGTGGAAGGCAATTTGAAAATCTCTAACTTAATTAGAAATGACGTTTGCTTTTTGAACCACTTTTAGAATTTCGTTTTTTTTTTTTTTTTTTTACTAAAAAGAGCCTAGGGCCATCTGGGTGGCTCAGTAGGTTAAGCATCCAACTCTTGATTTTGGTTCAGGTCATGCTCTCATGGTTATGAATTTGAGTCCTGCATCAGCCCCATATGTGTCAGTGCAGAGCCTGCTTGGGATTCTCTCTCCCTCTCCCTCTTTCTCTCTGTCTCTCCTTGCCTCTTCCCTGCTTTTGCTCTCTCTCTCTTTCAAAAATAAATAAATAAAAACTTAAAGAAAAATAGCCTACATGTCCACACATAAGAGACTAGTTTAATTATGGCACATCCTTACAGTAGGGCATTTTGTAGCTGTTAATAAAGAATGAGGCAGATCATTGTGTGCTTGTATGGAAGCTAATTAAAACATAATTTTCAGGGGCATCTGGGCGGCTTAGTCTGTTGAGCATCCGACTCTTGATTTTGTCTCAGGTTGTGATCCCAGGATCTTGGGATCGAGCCCTGAGTTGAGCTCTGTGAGGAGTATGAAGCTTGGTTGAGATTCTCTCTCCCTCTCCCTCCCCCCCCTTTCTTCCTCTCTCCTTCCCTCTCCTTCTCCTGCATGCCCATGCTCTTTACCTCTCTCTAAAATTAATATATATATATATTTACATTAAATAGACTGTTATTTTGTAAAAGCAATGTGAATAATGTGTTTAAAATGCATTAAGTAAAATACTATGTTTAAAAGTACATTTTTGTGTACATATATAAATGACACATGGAAGAGTAAACAAAGTGGGAACTGTAGTTGTCTACTGGGAGAGGCCTTGTGGTTGGAGACTGGGTGGTAAGGAGTTTTCATTTTCATTGTATATTTCTTAGTTGCTGTATATTGTAGCATTTGCTTATATTATGTATTAAGAAAATACAATACTTAAGTGTAAAAAATGAAAACCACGATAAGTAACATTTGTTTTCTTTTTATACTAGGCATATTTGATGAGACCTTCTATAATATTTTTTGATGAAATAGATGGATTAGCTCCAGTTCGCTCCAGCAGACAAGATCAGATCCACAGGTGATTTTTCTTAATCTGATTATGTTGGATTCTTTTCACTCATTGACACAGTAGTTAGCCTTAGCCTTTGCATAAGTGCTAGGAGGCTTGTAAAATGTGAACTGTGTCCTTGAGGAAGACTCCTTTGACTGAGCTCAAGGGTGAGCAAACTATAACCTGTGGACCATTTCTAGCATTTTACCTGTTTCTGTCAAGTTTTATTGGAACATATCCATGTTTGTATCTTTTGCATGGCTACTTCTGTGCTACAAGAGGAGAATTGAAGGAGTAGTTGTGAGAGAAAGATTGTATGGCTTGCAAAGTTTACATACATTTACTTTCAGGCCCTTTACAGAAAAAGTTGCCTGATCTCAACTTAGCATATTTTTGAAATTTATCTGTGTCATGTATACTAATATTTTGCTCTTTCCCATTTCTGAGTAGTTGCCCTTGGGAAGGGAGGGAGGGACAAAGAGTGAGAGAGGGAGGGAGAGTATGTATATGTACCACAATTTATTTATTTGTTAATCCAGCTGATGGAGATTTAGTTCACTTCTGTTTTTGGCTGTTATGATACTACTACTATGAACACTTGCATACACAGTTTCGTGTGCACATTTGTTTTCATTTCTGTTGAGTAAATAAGAGAGGAATGGCTAGATCCTATGGTAAATGTATGTTAAAATTGGCATTGTTTTCCAAGTTTGTAACATTTTATGTTCTTACCTATAATATATGAGAACTTCGGTTGCTCCTCATCCTTGCCAACATTTGGTATTGCTGTTCTTATTAACTTTAGCCATTCTAGTGGATTTATTTTGAGAGAGAGAGAGAGAGAGAGAGAGAGAACTAACAGGTGTGCAAGGGAGTGGGGGAGGGGCAGAGATCGAGGGAAAGAGAGAACCTTAAGCATCCTCACCTGTGGCTTGATCTCCCAAACAGTGAGCTCATGTCCTGAGGTGAAATCTAGAGTCGGACACGTAACTGACTGAGCCACCCAGGCACCCCATAGCTTCCCTTATTATGATTACTAATATATTTTTTTATTTTTAGCTTCCCTTATTATTAACATCTTTCACAGGTGGGTACATTTGTTACAGTTGAGGAGCACATAGTAACACATCATAATCACACAAAGTCCATAGTTTTACCTTAGGGTTCCCTGTTGGTGTTGGACATTTTATGAATTTGGACAAAAGCATAGTGACATGCGTACATCATTATCATATCATACAGAGTATTGTCACTGGCCTAAAAATCCTATGTGCTCTATCCACTCTCTTCCCCCTGCCCTTGGTAACACAGGTTTTGCTTCATAGTTTTGCCTTTTCCAGAATGCTATATGGTAGGAATCATATAGTACATAATCTTTACCTGATTGACTTCTTTCACTTAGCAGTATGCACTTAAGCTCCCTCCATTACTTTTCTTGGCTTTTGTTTGCTTGCTTTGGGTTTAATTTCATTTTCTCCCTCAGATAATTATAAAGGAAGCTTAGATTTTTTGATTGAAACTAATTCTTTTCTAATATAGGCATTGAAAGTTGTAGGTTTTCTTTTAAATACTGTTTTAGCTGCATCCCACATTTTTTGATCTATTGTATATTTATTGTCATATACTTCAAAATAATATCTAATCTCTCTTGTCATTTTTTTGACAGAATGATTATTTAGAAAATATTTTTTTAATGTTTATTTATTTTTGAGAGAGAGACAGTGCACGTGTAGGGGAGAGGAAGAGAGAGAGGGAGACACAGAATCCAAAACAGGCTCCAGGCTCTGAGCTGTGAACACAGAGCCTGGCGTGGGGCTCAAACTCACGGACCGCAAGATCATTACCTGAGCCAAAGTCGGATGGATGCTTAACTGAGCCACCCAGGCACCCCATACATAATGATTATTTAGTAGTGTGTTGTTTGTTGTTTAGTTTACAAGTTGTGGGTTTTTTTTTTCTGATTATCTTATTATTTCCTTCTAATTTATTATGATGATAAATTTTTTTTACTGAATTTCATGGCATCTAGTCATTCTTTTTTGTTGTTTTATTTATTTTTGAGAGAGAGAGAGAGAGAGAGAGAGAAAGAGCATGCACGTGCGCATGAGGGGCAGAGAGAGGGAGAGAGAGAGAGAATCCCAAGCAGGCTCCGTGCTATCAGTGCAGAGCCTGACAGGGCTTGAACCCACAAACCATGAGATCATGACCTGAGCTGAAATCAAGAGTCAGATGCTTTACTGATTGAGCACCCAGTTGCCCCAGCTTTTCATTTTTAAATATATTTTCATCTTTTTGCAGTGTAGACTTCTCATGCATTTTGTTTAGGATATTTCTTTTATTAATTTATTATAATAATTTCTGTGTCTTTTTATTTAGGGTGTTTTTTAAATAGATAATGTATAGTTGGGTGTTTTTGTAATCTGACACATTTATTTTATTTTTTTTTAATGTATTTATTTCTGAGAGAGAGACAGCATGAGCAGGGGAGGGTCAGAAAGAGAGGGAGATACAGAATCTGAAACAGGCTCCAGGCTCTGATAGCTGTCAGCACAGATCCTGATGCGGAGCTCGAACCCATGAACATGAGATCATGACCTGAGCTGAAGTCAGACGCTTAATGGACTGAACCACCCAGATGCCCCTATAATCTGACACATTTAATTTGACTATGTATTCTGTAAATGTTTCTGTAATTACTGACATGTTTTGATTGGAGGACAACCAGATTTTCTATTTGTGTGAGTTGTTTTTCTTGTCTGTTTCTCCTTTCTTGCCTTAAATTTTTTTAATGTTTATATTTGAGAGAGAGAGCATGCACATGCACGTGTGCAAGTCGGGGAGGGACAGAGAGAAATGGAGACACAGAATCTGAAGCAGGCTCCAGGCTCTGAGCTGTCAGCACAGAGCCTGGTATGGGTTTTAGACCCATGAATTGTGAGATCATGACCTGAGCCAAAGTCCAACACTTAAGTAACTAAGCCACCCAGGCGCCCCGCCCCTCCTTTCTTGACTTTTTAAAAAAGAAATTTTCAAGTGTTTTAGACTCTTCCTTTTTACTGTTGATTTTTTATTTATTATTATTTTAATTTTTTTAAAGTTTATTTTGAGAGAGACAGAGACAGTGTAAAGAGGGGAGGGGCAGAGAGAGAGGGAGAGGGAGAATCCCAAGCAGGCTCCACACCATCAGCACAGAGCCCAATATGGGGCCCAAACTCCATGTTTGATATTTATTTAATATCAAACCATGAGATCATGACCTGAGCCAAAACCAAGAGTTGGACGCTTAACCAACTGAGCTGCTCAGGAGCCGCCACTGTTGATTTTTAAAAAGCTGCTTTATTGAGATATAATTGATAAACAAAATACACAATGTTTATGCAGTATTGAACTTAAAGAGTACATTTGACATATTTTAACATGTATATACCTATGAAACAGTAACAATAATCCAGATATTGAATATACCCATTTCCTCCCAAAATGGGCGTTTATATTTCATGTGACTATTTAAAAAAATTTTTTTTAACATTTGTTTATTTTTGAGACACAGAGCATGAGTGGGGGAAGGGGCAGAGAGATTAGACACAGAATCTGAAGCAGACTCCAGGCTCTAAGCTATTAGCACAGAGCCCAAAGTGGGGCTTGAACCCATGAACTGTGGGATCATGACCTGAGCCGAAGTTGGATGCTTACAGACTGAGCCACCCAGGCATGCCCATATGACTGTTGATAAAGTTAAATTTATCATCTTGATTGTTAGCTATTTGTCCATCTGTTCTTTGTTCCATTTTTCTCCTTTTGTTCTTTCTTCCTTCAAGTCAGTGAATTTTTTTTAAATGTTTATTTATTTTGAGAGAGTGTTAACATGTGGTCGTGAGCAGTTGAGGGGCAGAGATCAAGGAGAGAGAGAATCCCAAGCATGCTCTGTGCTGTCAGCTCAGAGCCAGACATGGGGCTCAGTCTCATAAACTGTGAGATAATGACCTGAGTCGAAATGTAGAGTTGGATGCTTAACCAACTCAGTCACCAAGGAGCCCCTGAATGTTTGTCTTTCCTTTTTATTTCTTTTGTTAGCTTGTTACTGTTTATTATTTTCATGGTACCTTTAAGATTTATAGTATATTGCTTTCCTTTGTCATCATCTACCTTCAAGTGACAACATGCCATTTTACATATGGTAGAAAACCTTAAAATAGTATGCTTGCATTTCTGCTTTCCTGGGATTTGTGCTATTGCTGTCATACATTTTTTACATCATACAATCTTTCGAAGAGAGTTAAATAATAATCCTAATAACCATCGTCGTCCTTAAAGATTTAGTTGATGTAGTTACCCGTTCTGATGTTCCTTATTTTGTAGCTATTTCCATTGGATAGGTATTTAGATGGTTTCCAATTTGGGCTATTAGGAATAATGCTGCTGTGAACATTTGTATGTATGTCTTTGTGTACACATATGTTTTCATCTCTTGGGTAGATACCTAGGAGTGGAATTGCTGAGCTGCATATCTTTTTCCTCTGCTTTTAATTGTTGTTTTCTGGTATATTGATGGTTTTGTGCAGTTTGTTTAATGATATTCCTTGTTAGAGTTTTCTCCATTTGTTTTTTTCTCATTCTTGGATTGATCTCCTGACATATGTGAGCTTCTAGTTTTCATCATAGTTTTAACATTTTTGGCCATTATTTCTTAAAATATTTGTCTGTCTCCCTTGTTTTTGTCTCTCTGGTCCTGTGTCCTCCAATTACACTTATAAGTTGCTTGATCTTGTCTCACAGTTCACTGATGATAAGTTAATTATGATTTTTTTTAAAATTATTTTTATAGGTAATCTCCACACCCAACATGGGGCTTGAGCTCAACAACCCCAAGATCAAGAGTTACATGTTCTATCCACTAAGCTGGTCAGATGCCCCTAATTTTGCTTTAAACGGTCTCTTTAATATATCATTTTGGGAAGTTGCTTTGCCCTTTTAGTCAACTAATCTTAAGTGTCTAATCTGTTCTTTGTCTGCTTCATTATATTTTT